GATATCTATCTAATGTTGTTCTATGGAAGCGTTAGAAAAGTAATTGAATTAATGTGAGCGACTTTTATATATAATTTTAAGTACTCAGTAATCTTTAAAATTTTAGAAAATAGTCTACATAATCTAATGTTTTATTGAATTTGAAATATCCTTGGCTGAAAATTAACTATAGTTATCGCTTTTATTTTCTGATAATGTCGGGTATGGACATTCGTATATAAAAAATGGACACGTTTTCATACATAAAAAGAAATTAAAAATTCTTTTGAAATATTGCTGTTTGATAATATGTAATAAGCTTTTCCATTTATGATTAGTAAATATAGTTTTTACTTAATAATATTATCATTTAAAAGAGTGGAATTAATACAGAATTTTAAAAGAGTTAAGACTTAATAAATTATTATCGAAATTAATTACAATTTAAAAAAATAAAATTAATTCTTCTTACATGTTCATTATTCATCGATTTTTTTCTTAAGACAATAGTATCCTTAATATATCTTATTTATAAAAGCAATTAAAAGCTTTACTAATTAAGTAATGACTTGTTTTGTTTTTTTTGGTTTGTTTTTTTTGTTTTGTTTTTTTGTTTGTTTGTTTGTGTTTTTTTTTGGGGGGGTTGCATTTTTATTTTAAGATTAGGATCAGATTTTCGGTAAATGTTGTTTTTGTTTTGTAAAAAAAATGATTTAAATTCTCCAAATAATCCTGCTTTTAACTGATACAAATATGAAGAGGGTGTAATTCTAACTTCTGGAAATTTCATAAATTAAATAATGTAATAACAGATATAAAAAAAAAATATTTTTACCAAGATTTCCTAAAACAGAAATATTTATAAAATAATGTCCTTCATCTGTGAATAGGTCCTGAAGATTTCATTAAAATTCGACAATTATTTGATTTTTGCTAGAATTTCCAAATTTATGTTTTTTACCGCAAAAAGAACGCCAAACTTTCCTATAGTAATCATTGGTCCCGCCTCCCCGCTGATGCAAGAAAAACAAGATCTTTAACCAAAATTTTGAATATGCTAGAAAGGGGTAAAATAATCTTAGGATATTTTTTTATCATGGTATGCTGTTTTTTCTCTGAATTATTAGAGGTACCTAATATATATATATATATATATATATATATATATATATATATATATATATATATAGAGAGAGAGAGAGAGAGAGAGAGAGAGAGAGACTTGTGTGTGTCTGTGTGTTTGTGTGTGTGTGTGTGTGTTTTCTAGATTATCAATCATTTTGTATCTTAATAATTTGAGGTATGTTCCTTTAATTTTCTTATTTTTGACTTTTGGCAATTAGTGCCCAATTTCTTCCATTTTGTCTTAAATTTCAGGAATTCTAATTAGATAGATAGATCGATATATAGATAGATATGAATCAGACAAAGATAGCGTTGTACCGTTGCCTTTTGTGTTCAAAATGCGTTGTGGGGCAGTACACAAACAGCAAGTATCACTCCGAAGATAATGGAGAAAAGAAAGTTTTAGAATAACTCAGAATTTCATGGCTAAATTCTTCGAACCTTTGTGTGGCACCCCTTGTATATACACCTCTCACAAGATATCTAAGAAAATCAACATTTACTTGGAATAAATGGAAAACAACCTAACGTAATATTACGCGACATGCACTAACTTTTAACATGCTAATTCTCCTTACAGATGTACCAATAGCATTAACACGGGCGCTTCGAATCTGATAAATGAAATGAAAAATCAAGTCTTGCTCTTGGCACGTGTCTACAACCACAGCGACTTGATATTATCCAACTCTTTGAAAAGAAGCAACGACAGGTGATTTTGAACAAAAAAAAAAAGAACGATGAGTGATCCTATTGCTTTTATCCATTGTGATAGACATCAAGTTCATACCGTATATGACAATACTGGGGTTCATAAGAAAATCGAATGATCTCATAACTCTTCACTTCAATATCTAGAACCTCAGTGTCAATACCGCTGTCTACGTCGAGTTTGTGGATACGGTAGTTAATATCTCAATCTAAGGAGTGACTATTCCTATTACGACTGGAAAGAACACCAAACCATATGGTTCATGTAATATAGGAGAGGCTGGCCGAGAATTTTCATGATCACGTCACCGCCAATATATCACCTCCGAGCTCACCAGAGATGAATTCACTGGACTCTATGTCGAAAACGACCATCCCTTGGCCCTACAATTTCAAGGACCCGTTGAAAGCAGCGTTCGTGTAAGTGATGTTCAACATGAATGAAAACCATCCGATCCGGCAATGCGACCACTCCCGCGGATGAATTAAATCCATCTGGGAGGCTGAGAACTGTTTCATTGAATAAAGTTTTATGTATTTTCTAAGATTAATATATGTATAGATTTTTTTTCAACTAACCCGATATATTCAACTGAATATCTCTGTTATTTTTTATATTATAATTTTTTCCCAATTACTTGGCTTAGCACACGCACACACACACATGCTGTAACCTAGGGAAGGTTACTGAATATAATAATGAAAAAGAAGGTTGGTAATGAAAGATAATACTTAGGACAAGAACAACACATATAAGATTCGCCAGCGGTGCGTAGAAGAAGTAGTCAACTACTATAAGTGAGTCAATTTCACAATGAATCTCCAACTGCAGGA